TATGAAGTATGTTGACATGTTTGTATTGTAAATATACATGCTCATTTTAGGCCTTTGGTTTAGGATGACTAACATTAACAATAAATAAGTAAAGTAATAAATAATAACAATCACAATTAAAAATTAATAACATTACATTAAATCTAATTTCTTGCCTTAGTTTTTTTTTTAAATAAATTTTGGGCTTTTGGTTTGGACCGTTTGGTAATGTTGCACATTAGATGATGATGATGTAGCTTCATTTTATTTTGATTTTTTTTTTTTTAAAAAAAAAATTTGCGGTTAACCGAAACCAAACCACACCGAACCGAAAATTTCGGTGCGGTTTCGGTTCGGTTTTTATACATGTTTCGGTGCGGTTCGGTTTGGGTAAATGAAAAAATTCGGTTTTCGGTTTTTTGCGGTTCGGTGCGGTTTTGCACCGAACCGCACCATGCTCACCCCTAGCCAGGAGTATGTTTGCAGGATTGTGGATCTGCTAGACATAATAGTCTGTTAAATGTGCGGGCTCGGCCAAAAAACAAATAGGCCAGATGAATGGGCCGGGTAGATTGAGGAGGTGGGCTAGCACTGAAATGGGCTTAGCAGTTATCACATTTGTGGATGAAGAAGCAAGCGTGGAGAGGAAGCTAAGGACTTGCATATAAATAGGTAACGCAGGTATGATGGGGGGCTAAGTCTCTTTACCTCCAAAAAACCCTAATATACATACTGATCCTTCCTGAATACCCTACTAACTTGAGCGTCAGAGGTTTACCGCCGGGAACCCTTCCCGGCGTCTTTGCAGGTTTTGGAGGGCTCAAGCGGTTAGGTTCAAGGAGAATCGGTCCAACGTGCAAAAGCACATCACAACTAGCGAGTTTAGCGGCATCCCGCTCGATTGGTTTATAGAGAGTTTTCTCTCCTCCTCTAGGTATGGGAGCATGACTCAGCACGACGTCACTGGGGTGTTGTACCCCGTCGGGTTCTAGTCTAGATATCATACTAGGCCTTTGCATAATCTCATAAATTGTGTTGATATAACGATTACAAAACTCAATAATTACACTAATAGGTTGAAATGTTCCCGCCTTTAGGTACGTCAACATGACTTGTTGGGCCCACGTTTAATAAGACTGCAGAGAAGTCGAGCGAGCGCTCGAATAAACAATGCGTCCGGAAATTGGATATGGCCCGAACACGTCAAATTCTATATTGAGCTTGCTTTTTTAAGCTTGAGTGGTTGACGAGTTGCTCGGTATCAATGTGAATAACTTAAATATCCCGATACGAGCTAAATTTAAGAAACGAAATCTTATTTTAAAATAAATTATTTTAGTTTGGTTTTTATGCAGCAAGTAAGCGAAAACAATTCTTGATTGTTGGTACGCAAAAAAAAAAAAAAAATGGAGCCGAAGGCAGGCAAAATTTAAACTGATGGAATTATAATCTATATCTCATGCCGGTTCTCGAGTGTTTGTATATTGTTGTCAAGTCGAGCCGAGTCATAAACTTTATTATATGCTCTATTTTATTTTATTACCAATTAAATGATGAAAGAAATCAAGTAAAACAAAAAAGAAAACACAAATGACAAAACATTTGCATGAACTATTTGAACAAAAGTATAAATTAAAAATAAAATGATGATAAACCAAGAGTCAACACCCAAGACTCAAAACAACGTAGCGTCAAAGGCACTTGCCTGAATATAGTCAATATACAACTTGAACACTAGTCCGGTCTTTCAACTTGCACCCTATTGGGAGATACGGGAGATACTACGGTTCCGTTACGGAACTAATTCGTCGGGATTTGTAACATTTAGATACTTGGATCAACTATTCCCGACGATTACATGATGATTTAATGGTTACAAATCCCGACAGAATGGTACCGTAGCGGAACCGTATCATTTCCTATTATTATTATTATTATTATTATTATTATTATTATTATTATTATTATTATTATTATTATTATTATTATTATTATGATAGATAGAATGTAGTATATATATTGATCTTATATATGTATTTGATTATTAAAAGGCAACCAACTACAAAGTATAGGTCCATGCGAAAATTACATTATTATTATTTTAAAGGTGATAAATTAATCATTTTTTAGGCCTAAAGACGAAACTATAATTTCAGGTCATTTAATGTATTCTTATGTTGAATTGGTCATTTTGGTGTGTGGGGTTTAGTGGGGTTTATGGTGTCGTGCTTTAAATTTCGATCGATCTTAATTCTTAACAACTTTTTCAAGCAATTTGTTAGTTTGTTGTATAGTGAAATTGTATGACACCTTTTTGCACACTCATAAAAGTTTTATTTTTTTATGCCATTTTGATCATATGTTTAAGGTGAAATATTATATCTTGGAAAAATAATATTTATGAACCATCAAATTATTTATGAGTCGCTACATCCATAAAATTATTCTGGCCCAATCGAGATCTAAGAATAATATCGATTATAAAGGAGGAAATGTGAAAGTCCTGTCACGAGTTCATCTTTTCAAAAAGCAAAACTTCAATGAAAAATTACCGTGTCAACATCGAAGAGTTCATTTAATATTAAGAGAACTGAATCATATTGTGACGAAACTGTAGTTGTATCCTATAAAGCATTTATAGATATAAAATTGGTAGTATGGCTCCTAAGTATTAAATTATCTACCGTTAAAACTCAATTTCATGATTGTTTAACGAGTTGATTCGATTATGATTGAGATGAGAGGTTGTTCGACAAAAAAATTGTAACCTGCGGCACGACTAGTTCAGACCTATCAGTGGCTGCAATATTGAGTTTTCGTTATTAATTCAACACACATTCATACATATGTATATTGATTAAAAGTAAAATGCAATTGTAGGGTGAAATTAATTTTGCTTGCACCACATCAAAATTTATGAATTTTACCCAAAAAAATTGTTTGTTTTGCGCAATAAAAATGACACTTAAACAAATTTTCTTAACATAAAATTGCTAATGTATCAATTTTTTATTTTAAATGATAGAGATATTATATAAATGCGCACAAATGTGCAAATTAAACAACCACTAACTGAATGTAATGTAATAATTGACAATTTTTTTTTATTTTTTTTTTTTTTTTTGGTGCAAGCAATCTAATTAGCAATAGCTAGAGTCTACAAAGTCCCATCAGCACAATATTTTACCTTTGTTTTCTGGAAAATTATTCGCAATCTACACTGATCGATGATGGTCTGATAAAATACAATAATATTTGCTGATTCCCGTAACCTACTACTTCTAGCCTCTGTCACACTCTAATATTCGTAACTTTCAAGAAAAATTTTAAGTATGCTTTTATACCATTTTATGCTTTTACTCGTGTCACGCGATACGAGATAAATGAGTTATTTTCACATGTTTTGTCCGTTAAAGCCTAAAAAATGATAGAATTATCATATATTTTCCACCTCTTTTAATCAGCGTGTCAACACAAAGAAAAAAAACAATAGAGTTATAATCTATTTTTCATCTGATTTAATCAGCGTTGTTTTTTTTTTTTTTATCAGAACATAAAATATGATAAGCATGTTAGAGTCAACTTGTAAAATAATTAATATGTTATCTTAATAATGCTTTTATACGAATGTAAATTTAATTTTTGTATATCTATATTTATTTCTTGATATAAGTGAAAATAACGTTTTACTTGTTCTTGACACCATATAATACTTAATAATTACTTTATGATAAACTTTATTGTCATATAATGTCATTATTATTTATTAAAGTTATAGATGTTGTACGTCTTTTTTTCTTTGTATTATATGTAATGAAAAATATTTAATGCATGTTAGTATTATTTATTTATGTAATCAATTTAAAGTATGTAAATAAATTTAAATTAAATAGTATATAAATATTTTATAAAATATTTTAAAAAGTATACATTAAATACTCCTGAAAATTAAATAGTTTTTTTTTTTTAAAAAAGTATACATTAAATACTCCTGAAAATTTTGACTATTTTAATTGCCTACTTTGGCATAAATTAAAATTTACTAAATACCACAATCAATTATTCTTGTGGCTAGATGGCCATAAATTAAATTTAATTCTGGAAATTGATTTCCTTGCTCAAAGACTAATTATTGTTCCACTTTTACAACTATGCTCAAATGTAACCCAATTATATACATACATTTTGATAAGTGTTTTTTTCTTTTTCTTTTCTTTTTCCCAAACTACAAAAACTTATAAATATAAAACTCAAAAAGAGTAAGGTGAGGATGTCAACTGACATCAAGAAACCAGATAGTTAGACTTATTCTCTTGAAATTATAGAAAAACTCAATAGGCACAAGCACAACTCCAACAAAAAGACAACCACGAAATCAGAACGAAACTCTATAAAAGAGAGGAAACTACATAAAAGAGATAAAATCCGACAAATTGGACTAACATGCGAAAGACAAATAAAACGAACACCTAATATACAAATAAACTAAGACCTCCTCGAGATCTAACAGACCCAAAGCTCGGCCACCCGAGGCGACACACGAACCACTTCCAATAGCATAGAAATCCACAAAGCTGCAAACTGAAGTGAGTAAACTGAATTTTTTTGGTTAAAGAGAGTAAGTTTAAAATAAAGTTGATTGCTTGAGATTTTGAATTTTTTTAAAAATATTTAAAATATAATAATTAAATTTGAAGTGATATAAAAATATGATAAAAAAATATTAAAAATGATAGATAATAAAAAATATGTAAGGAATGTATACTACATTTAAGTTAATGTGACGTGTGATACCATTTATTTATAATGATAATACTAGTACAACGTTCGTGTATTACATGGGTGCTTGCTAATTTTTTTTTTCTTAAATTTTAAAATTAATGAGAAAAAGTAGTTGGAAATTTAAATACTTTTTATAAAAAAATATATTATATATATTTTTTAGTATGACACTTGTTACTTGTGCGATTTGCTTGTGTTATATTATAATAATTTTTCTAATTTAGAACATATACATTAAAAAATATATTTAATAGAGAAATAATTTTATTTTTTATTAATTTTAATATTTTTTATTATTATGAATATAAATATAATTTATTTATTTTATATATACAATATGGATGTCAAATCGAAACTCATCAAAAGATGATTAATTTGATATATTATATATGTGAAACCGATAATAAATACAGAAGTTATCAACTTTTAAAATACATTTACAATTCAATAATTATAATAGGAAATGACATTAAAATACAATTTATACATCTAAAATGATCATAAATAAACAATATATTTTTGGTAATCCGAACCTAATTATTTTTAGATTTGAATTAAATTAAAATCTACCCAACCCAAATAATAAATCATGAAATTTTGACACATAGGATCCCGAAACATGTAAGTCTGCCACTTAGGCTCAACACATTCATAAATTATATATAAGGGGAAGGGGATTGAATAAAACGGAGTTGAATTAAATTTGAGTTTTGATTGATGTAATATAAAAAATAATCTGGTCAACCAAAACCGATTTTAACTTGTAGTTCATACGCCCTAACATCTATATATATATATATATAATTGCTAGCATGTAGCATTTAATAAAACTTATTTAATAAAACCTCTAAATTTTCCCTCCATTTTCGGTTACAAAATTTGTCATTAATATTTTTTACTTCTCATATTAATACATCTTAATGAGTGTAATCATGTATGTTTCTATTATATTATGTAATAGACTAATAGTTATTGCTAATACAAACTAATAATAATTCACAATAAATATAAATTACATAATTATAAAACAATTGTTTTAAGTTATGTATTTTAACATCAATATTATCTTTTTCTTTTGTATCTCATAAAAAATTTCTTTAAAAATAATTAGTAAATTGTTTTAATAGCATAGTTAAACAACTTTAGAATCCTATAAATAATTATTTTTAATATATATATATATATGTAATTGCTAGCTTTGCATTTAATTTTACCTATTTAATAAAACCTCTAAAAATTTCTTTCTATTTTCAGTTACAAAATTTATCATTAATATTTTTTTACTTCTCACATTAACATATCCTATTAAGTGTAATCATGTATTTTTTTATTATATTATATAATAATTATTACTAATACCAACTAATAATAATTCACAATAAATATAAATTACATAATTATAAACAATTGTTTCAAGTCATTTATATTAACATCAATATTATTTTTTCTTTTGTATCTCATGAAAAAAATTTCTTTAAAAACAACTAGTAATTATTTTAATAGTATAGTCAAACAATTTTAGAAGCTTATAAATAATTTTTAATAATAATAATAATAATAATCAAACTGTTATTATCTAATGATAATAAATAATTGTTAATAATAATAAAATCGTTAATTTATTTTTCTTAATGATCAAATTTTTGAAAATGTAATATGTTCATTATCTAAAATTTTAATATTAAATTTTTAAATATTACTTACTAATATTTTATGTACATCTGTGCATGTGCACAGGATATCTACTAGTTACAATATGAAATGACTTATATTTCTACCAATCGGTCTACATAACATCTATTTTACAATGTCAACAATCATAAATTCATACTATTTGGCAATCACAAATATTGTTGTTGTCTAACCATTAAGTAACCATATAATTTTTTTTAAATGCATACTTATTATATGAAATGTCATACTTTTTACCGTAATTTAAAATATAAGATTTTATTGTAAAAATATGTAAGGTGGCCTAAAATAGGAACAATTGTTTGACAATTTGAAGTTCACAACATTAATCCATATATATAATTATTAGCTAATAACATTTAATAAAACCTATTTAATTTTGTCTATGTGGCAATTTAAATCTTTTCCCTAAAAAAACCGTTACTTTTGATGCATTTAATCTTCCATTTAATTATTAAATAATCAACACTAATCAATTCAAAATTATAAAAATCATTTTAAACTTTTGATTACTGACAGTTGACCATATAATGTGTTGACCGTGTAATGTGATTAGATGTTATTATTGTGGTTACATTTATTTATTTTTTAAATAAAAGACATATTTAAAATTTCTAAATAAATAATAAATAATTCACAAAAAAAAAGACGTACCAAAATATACATTACATCCAATTAGATAAACGTAATTTTAAAAAAAAAATCCAACTCCTTTGTAAATTTGGCCAGCGAAAAGGTAAAAGAATAATAATTAATCATTATATGCATACATATAACTCATAATACTTTATTTACAATTGTGTAAATGCATCTCATAACACTTTATTTACAACTGTATAAATGCATCGAATACTAGTTATTTTAAAACTTGCTAATGGTTGATGATAAGTAAAGGCAATCAAGAACAACCACTATTATAATAGGTAAACCATAAATTCACATAGTCGCTTTTTACCGTGGCTCATTATTCTTGAAAAGACGTGGCCAAATCTTGGGCCGGGTTCAAAATGGCCATCCTTGATTCGGCCTGTACCGTTGTACACGATCCGGCGGGCCAAGCCGGCTCGACCCAGATCTTGGACTCATACTAAAAAAAAGTTGAAAAAAAAAACGGTTATTAATTTTTCGACTCGGACCGATCATGGCAACCGACGTTGAACCGTCTCAGTTTGAATCCGAGCATGAGCTGAGACTTGTTGACCACGGGTCTGACAGGCCAAATTCGTTCCAATTCCGAGTCGGGTTCAGGCCAGGTCGGCGGGCCGGGAGACCCGTGGCCATGTGTAGACAGATACATACATTATATATGAGACAAACATCACATAAACAACTTATTTTGCTAATCCCAATTCATATTTATTATTATTATTATTATTATTATTATTATTATTTCATATTTATTATTATAATTATTAAATATTATTATTTATTAATATTATTATTTCCTTTTTTGATATTTCCTTTTTGACTCCTCTAATATTTAACTCCCCACCATTTTAGCTCTGCACACTCAAAGTACACCACCTCTCACATTCTCGAATGCTTTCTGCTTCGGCCCGCAGCCAACTCTAACCCCTAATGGGCAAAGCCTCGAAATGGTTCAGAAGCCTGCTGGGCCTCAAGAAGCCCGACCCGAAACCAGACCCTGACCCGAAACCACAGTCCAAGAGGATATGGAGCTTCGCCAAGCCCCACAGGGGAAAGGCCCCCCACAGATCCCAACACACCACCGTCGCTCCGACCGTCTTCGACGACGAAGGTGCCAGCAGACACGCCGCCGCCGTTGCAGCCGCCACCGCCGCCGTCGCGGAGGCCGCCGTGGCTGCTGCTCAGGCGGCCGCCGCGGTTGTGAAGCTGACGGGCGGGGCCGGCGGAGGCGCTTCCTGCTCCGCCGCGCACGTCAGTCAAGCGGGCGCAGGCAACGGGCTCCGGGATGAGTGGGCGGCCGTTAAGATTCAATCCCATTTTCGTGCTTATCTGGTAGAAATTTCTCTCTCATCTTACTTTCTCTTTCACACACACACACACACTATGCTAAGTACACGCATTGGGGCGTGTAACAGTACACACTTTTACAGTCTTTCTCTATTATCCAAAAACGCTCTCTTTCACACACACACACACACACACTGGAGCGTGTAATAGTACATTTTTACAGTCTTGCTCTGTTATCTGAAGCTTTCTTGGGCAACAAAGCTTTGTGCTTTGTGTGAACCTGAAAATGAATTAGTGGGCAAGATTAAAAGTTTGACATAATTATGAAGACTTTTAATCTGGGGTTTAATCTGATTAAGTAAAAAAGCTACCTTTTTATCATAATCGATCTCCCCTTTAGGTTAATAGTTACTGTATTCATTATAAAGCACAGTTTACTTGGTAATTTCTAAATGTTTGGATTTCTTTCGGTAATTAGGATAAATCATGTCTAGTGCTACGGTCCCGTTACAAAACCATTCCATCGGGGGTTTGTAACCGTTGGACCATCATGTAACCGTCAGAGATAGTTGATTTAACGGTTACAAACCCCGACGGAATGGTTCTGTAACGGGACTGTAGCATTTTCCCTAGCTAATCTTGCTGTTATGGGTTGGTGTCTTTAGCATAAATGCTTACCATTTTTTTTTTTTTTTTTGTGGATTTATAAGCTGGCAAGTGGCAGCCATGTTTTGAAACTGTACCATTTATTTGTGTGTAGATAATATGTATGCACTATGCTTTTTATTTTTTTTTTGTTATGTGGTCCATTTAGTTAATGGATATTGGGGTTTGGTATTATGTGGGGTTGCTTTATAAATTACAGTAAGCTGTTGTTGCTCTTTGATGGGGTCAAAGGCTCTGGATTGAAGCCGTGTGGACCTGGAAAAATTCTAAGTATAATAATGAAATTGAAATCTAAGTACCTGCCTTTTTGTTTTCAGTTCAAATTTGGTGGGGTGTGATGTAGATTTTCATGTACACCTTTAGTCGATCTCCCGGATTTAGTCGAAAATCGACCTGTTATTTCTAGTTTTCAACCGAGGTGATAAATCGAGCTCGTGGCTCGTATATAGATAAGGATCTGAACTCGACCCTACTCCATTTATTCAAGACATTGATACACAATTCAAAAAAAAATGCAGATTAACTTTACAAACTACCCTGCATTTACTTTTTTTTTTCTCAGCCTGCAGCTATGCCGTAAATTTTGAAGTTATTAATTCGTTTTTTGCCGGTTATGGTTAAAACTACAGTATTTATAAGACGGACCTACCAGCAAGAAAATGATGAATGAGGCACTTTCTTTGAGCACACACTTGTGAAATCAAGAGAGTTTCTACTCCATATTTGATAGAAAGTTGGTTGAAGACTATATTTAACTTTCTGGAGTGTCCTTATTAAGACTTTTTGGCTACTTTTTTTTGGTGCACTTTATTAATGGGGTTGAATTGTCTGGTTAAGTATCGTACTTTTATGTTCGAAACGAAAAAATTTGATTTATCTCCGGATTTTTGTTTACTATTGTTTTTAATTTTAAAGGCAAGGAGGGCATTAAGGGCACTAAAAGCATTGGTGAAGCTTCAAGCACTGGCAAAAGGTTACCTTTGGAGGAAGCAATTTGCTGAGTATTTACAACAGATGCAGGCAATTGCACGCGCCCAAGAAAGGGCCCGAGCTGGTCGAGCTTTGAATTCCGAAACTTCTCAGTCGAGCACCAAATCTTCCAGCTTCAACAACTATAATGTAAGATATATACAGCATGCTCGTTATTTTCCCTCACGAGTGGAATAAAAGACGGATCTTTTTGAAACACTCTTCTTATGTTAATTTGAAAGCCAAGAACTTTCATACATTTTACGATCAAATGAAAATGCAGTGTGATATAATACGGTGCATTCGAGATTGTGTCTATTCTGTTTTGCTGCATACACTTTCATGTATCGATTTTTTTTACTAATATTATATGCTTTCTTTCCTTATAGAGCCCGGTAACTCCTGAGAAACACCAGCCTCTAACGACAATCAAGGTTCATTCCAAGTCATCTCATTCACGATTATATCTATTCTTTTCTCGATTCTCATACTAAACTACAAAAAAATTAATCTTTGCTAATAATAAACACAGAGAAGTGTTACAAGAAAATCAGACGGCTCGACCGGGAGCAATAATAACCGCACGAGCCTAAAATCCAATGAGAGACAACAAGGATCATCGTCCTTCACTCGAATAGTCCCGATGGACGAATATAAAACTGACAAGATACTCGAGGTCGACACGGTCAAAGTCAAACCACACGTCCCCACGACACCCCCCAAATATTATTACTCGGGCCACCTTCACTCGCCCAACGAGGCCCAATCTTTCAGCAGCCCGTTCAAATATTCGCACGACCAATTGGACGAGACCAACAGCCCGCTTAACTACTCGGTTTCATCAGTGGGCGGAAGCTCTAAACGGGTCCAAATCACGCCCACCAAGAGTGACGGGTCGAAAAGCTACTCGAGCGGGTATTTGGATCACCCGAATTACATGGCGTATACTGAGTCTTCAAAGGCTAAGGTAAGGTCCATGAGTGCTCCGAAACAGAGGCCTGCAGAGTATGAAAGATCAAGTTCGGCCAGTAGAAACTCAGAATTCGGTAATAATAGCATTAATTACAACTATAATTACAATGAGTCGAAGGTTAGTGGCGTTCAGAGAGCATCAGCATTGCATACAAACTTCACGAGCAAGGCTTATCCAGGCTCGGGCCGGCTGGACAGGCTCGGGATGCCCGTGAGAGATGTTTCGAGCTTCAGTGGTAGCCATTGGCATAGATACTAGGAAAGAGTTTGGAGTTCGTTATGTTTCTTTTTTCTTTCTTTTTTTTTTTTTTTNNNNTTTTTGGTTATTTTGGGTTAGATGTGCTGACGGGGGGTTTTAGCTGGTGTTAGAGGTTTTGGGGAGATGCATATTTTTGGAACTTGGAAGGTTTTCCTTTTGGTATGATGTGTGTGGATATAGCTAACACGCTAGTCCGTGACATTATATAATCTTTTTGCTTTTGACATGCACATGTATGTTATTGAGTGGTATTTCTTGATGTGTGGATTATCAACTGGGAAATGTTACGGAACCATTTCATCGGGATGGTTACGGGATGTGTAACCGTCGTGGATAGTTGATCTAACAGTTATAAACCTCGACGGAATAATTTCGTAAAGGGAATGTAAAATCTCTGAGTTTGTCGTGAATACTAATCCTGCAATGATAACGATGATGCATATTTATTATTTAAAATATATTCCAAGCATTATATGTGATGCACAAGGATGTTACTGTATTATTTTGGTTCAGAGATAAATGTAATAATTTCAACATGTTATATGTAATATTTGGTGATGTAGGTGAGAGTGTAATAATGTGATAGATGTGTAGGCAAGTGGATACAACTCTGTATAGAAAAAAAAAAAATTAATATTGTTTTTTTATATGGTTATCAAAATAATCAGTTGATTTAGAACATAGTTTTGCTAATATTTTTAATAAAATAAATTATATACCAAGAGAAAAATGCCAATATTTTCATAAATAATTAATATAACAATAGAAAAATATTTATAAGTAGAATACTTTTTAATTTGTCATAGATAAGCAATCATAGAACTTGACCAGCACATCATGCACAACATGATTATCTTTTCTTCATTAAGATGTAAGGTCCATTTTCTGCAAAAAGAACCAGAGAGAAGCAACAGCATAAAGCAACACAAAGTCTCACCGATCAAACATAACACAACCCATGTGTCATTTTCGATTAAACCACGTCTGATCAAAAGTGCGGTTACAAGCTAATATTAAAAAAAAAAAAAATTGCACGGTAAACAAATCCAAACTGCTCAAAAAAAGTAACAAACACCCACCCAGCTTTGTCTCAAATGTCCTTCATACAAAACTAACAAAGATTTTAGGTCGTTTTGCAAAATCTTACTATTTCAACGTTTGCCACCACCACCGCCGAGCTTGGGACCCTTTGGCATGGCACTCTTGGACACGTTGCCTTTGCCACTCTTCTGCTTGGACACCAACTCAGCCTTCTTTGCCTTCTTCTCATCCTTAGTCTTTTTGATCCTCTCTTTGATTTCACTGAGAATCAGAACAATGAACCACTAACTTCACCTAATGCATTATCATAAACAATGCCGAAACTCAAAAACCCTTTTTCAATAGCATACCGTAAGGCAGCTTCACGTGCAGCATCACGGACCTCAGGCTTCTCAGTCCTTCTCTTCTGGATAACTTCCAATGTGGCACCAACAATGGACCTCGAGTAAGGCTTCTTGGTAGCTCTGCGTCTCTTTTTCACAGCTTCGGCAGCAATGTCCTAACAAATAACAATTAACGCTTTTTAGATACAATGAGATTCACAAAAGAAGAAAAAAAAAAAACACAGTGGATTTGAGGAATGAACAACTATAAGGGACCCCAAGTAATTTTACCTTCTTATGCTGCTTGCGGTACATAGCAGTCCAAGTAAGCTTTGCCGGCCTCAGGCGGTTGTGGAAGTACCTCTTGCATTTTGAGTTGGCAAAGAGGAAAACCTGAAATGAACAATGATGAACAAAAAAGCACTTTCACACGGTGGATAATAATTATGTGGTAAAATAGTAGTCTACAAACTACTTATGAAACCTAGGTTACGGTAAGAGAATGGCTAAAGTAAAGACTTATGCTTTCTACCATTAATTTACCAACCTGTGAGTCGGATCGAATGAATCTAATGCCTTTTCCAGGGTAGATCTTGGCACCACTAAAACGGCAGAGCTCAGTCCTGAAAACCCAATATCAACATTAATGAAACCATAGCTTCAAGATAGCCCCTGTAACTTGGGACCAATCAAAACAATAAAACCGAACTCCAACAATGTTCTATTACTCAAAATTGAACAAGAATACAAAACAGCCCAAACAAAAAACCATGAAAAATTTAAGGGCTCCAATATATTTTTGGAACTGTGACTTGGGATGCCAATCACAACAATAAACCAAGCTCTATCAATGTTCGATTACTCAAAAGTGTGACAAGAATACGAACCGGACCAAACAAAACGTGGTTAAAAACAAAGAATTTGAACTCAACAAAACCAATGTAATCATATCAACACCTCAAACAAATCAAAAGGCTTTTGATTAAAAAAAAAAAAAAAATCCCACCTTTACTATTGCAGAAGAAATTAGATTCAAGCATGACAGTAAATGAAAAAAAAAAAACAAAAAACAAAATTGGGCATCTGCAAATCGGTTCCATACGTTATAGAACATCCATTAAGCATGAACAGCGAATATTGAAGAGAGGACAATGCGAACTAACTTGAGAACCATGGCTGGAAGTGTAGATCAGCTAGCCGCCCTTCGTTATTTTTTTGGAGTTGATTGATTGATGAAACCCTAGAGCCTCAGGAAGCGATATAGTGCTTAAAAAATGAAACATACGACGTCGTATCAGTCATGGGCTGGCGGCATTCTAAGCCCATTTAGTGAATACAATAGTCTAGGCAGGCTCACCAAGAAACTGTTCAAAGCCCACGTGGAAAGATTGTAGCCTCTCTTTTTTTTCCTTTTTTTCTTTTTTTTTTTTTGTTTTGTTTTGTTCGTTCTTGATAATTAATAAAAGGAAATGGGTCAAAAACACCCTAATGTTTGTTGTAAGGTACATATATATTTATAAAGTTTTTTTAGATGTAAATATATCATTGAAGTTTGCTACTATTAATGTATATGTCATTGCTAACCGTAAGGGTTTTAAACATTTTCTTCAATTACGCCACTCAATTCATTGTTTCATGGCGGTAAAAAATACTTGCATGACAACATTGTTGGGAAAAATACGCTGAAATTTCCATGAAGTCGGATCTATAAAAGTGAAATAAAAACGAAAAATTGGACACACCAAATTGATAACGGAGTTCGGCCAATAATGCCTACGTCTCCGGACTACTGCAGATATTTTATTGGAAAAAAGAAATACACTCGTGTTTACAAAACACTCTCGAAACCACTCACAACTCACAACTCAAATACACACAGAAGCTAAAACTGCTCCCTTTCTTTTCTCTCTTTCTCTCTGTATTTGTTGTATTTCTGTTGTTGTTGTGTTTTGTTCTTCAGATTCACCCTCAATTTATAGAAGGGGGAGTGCACCATAATTTCAACAAAAGGATGCTTCATTTTCTCCAAATGTGTGCTGTCAAAATGGGTGGGTGGCTTTCTTTTTTTTTTTTTCAACAGCCGGGTGCTCCTCCAATTTGTCAAAGAAATTGGGCTTAAAAATTTGTTGGGCTACTTTTCAACAATCTCCCACTTGAGGACTGATTTCAATCTGTTCTCACACCTCAATTACTGCAGTAGTCTTCTCCGGTCTGTTAATCTAGCAGACTAACTGAAGTTGAGCACAACTTCAGTTTGTCAATGGTCACCACCTTCGTTAGCATATCTGCCGGGTTCTTGCTTCCAACAATCTTTTTCAAAGTCAACACTTCATCCTCAAGAAGAGATCTGATGAAATGATATCGTATGTCAATGTGCTCAGTTCTGGAGTGAAACACTGAGTTCTTTGCCAGATGTATCGCACTCTGACTGTCACTGTGCAAGACACTCTCTTTTTGAGTGAAACCCAACTCTGCTAACAATCCTTGAAGCCATATCAATTCTTTACTGGCTTATGTCACTGCTACATACTCAGCTTCTGTAGTGGATAGAGCAACAATCTTTTGTATCCGCGACATCCAACTAACAGCTGTAGTCCCGACAGTGAAAACATAACCGGTGGTGCTTCTTCGGTGATCAACTTCACCTCCAAAGTCTGCATCTACGTAGCCCTGTAACTTTAGATCTCCCTTTCTAAAGTACAAAAACTTTTCTGTTGTGCCTCGTAGATATCTCAAGATCCATTTGACTGCTTCCCAATGA